GACCCGCCCGTGCCGTGACCCGCCCGTGCCACACCGCGACCCGCCCGTGCCACACCGCGACCCGCCCGTGCCGCCCCGGGACCCGCCCGCGCCACACCGCGACCCGCCCGTGCCGTGACCCGCCCGTGCCGCCCCGGGACCCGCCCGTGCCACACCGCGACCCGCCCGTGCCACACCGCGACCCGCCCGTGCCTCACCGCGACCCGCCCGTGCCACACCGCGACCCGCCCGTGCCGCCCCGGGACCCGCCCGTGCCGTGACCCGCCCGTGCCGTGACCCGCCCGTGCCGTGACCCGCCCGTGCCACACCGCGACCCGCCCGGCCCGGCTCGCCCGGCCCCGCTGTGGAGCCGCGTCGGCCCCGTCCCCGCTCCGCGCTTCCTGCAGGCGCTGCCGCCCAAGCCCGCCGAAATCCTCGAGGGGCGAAGGCGCCCGCGGGCGGCCCTGCATGAAAGACAGCGCGGGAGCGGCCTCGGAGGCCGCAGGCCCAGAAGGAGGGAATGTAGCTCCCCAGAGGGGTGCTCCAAGAAATGGGCTGGGAGCAGGCTCAGGGCTTGGGCTGGGTGACGCACCTCTCCAGGGAGAAACTTGGCATGGAGCAACTGGCAAGGTTTGGGTCCAGCAACAGTTAATGGTGAGCCAAGCCCGCTGAGGTGGGTTTTCTACTGGAATTCCTCACAACCAGGCTTCCTTGGGATGCCTGCTCCTGGTCACACAGTGTTGAGGGCTTTGTGCAGTAGCCACAGTCCCTCTTCCACCTCAGCACCCTGCAGCTGGACCAGCAGCACTCTTACTTTGGTGGCCCACAGTGCCATGCCTGCTGTTCTGTCTGGGAAAGTGGGAAAGCTGGGGAAGAGGAGCAGGGCTGCCTCCATCCTCCCTGCTGATGCGGAGGTGCTATGGCACCAAGAGAAACACTACTGAAAATAATTAGCTCTGCTGAGACTCAGACTGATGAACTGAGTACAGAGGAGTTCTCATGCAGTCATACTGCTTGCCAGGCCCCTTGGGAAGCTGGCGCAGCCCTATGCTGGAGTCCTGGACAGCATGTTCAACACCAGCTTGCACCGATGTCCTGCGCCATCTGGCTAGCATGTTCCCTTTATGCTTCCTGGCTTTCCCCGGATGCTCTCCCTGGAGCTGTAAAGCTCTTCCACTGGTCATGGAGATCTGCTGGGCAACACCACTGGGCAGTACTGGCATCCTCTGCATGCACCTGTCACTGCACGCTTGTAGATTAAACACAGACAAGGGACGTGGCTCCATCACAAAGCTACACCCACCCCATTCCTGGGTTCCTCCAAGTCCCCTGCACAGACCAGTATACTGTGTTCTTCCCAGTGAAGCAGGTCTTCCTTCTCCACGGCATTCCTCTGTCGTTTCTTGCTTCAACCCACATCTCCACCCTCCATCTTTTCTCCTCCCTCAGTCTGCCTCCTTGCCCATGGATGGTACTGGTGGACACTCCTGAGATCTCACATATTCAAATTCTTTCTGCTTATAGAGGGCCAGCACATGTGAAATATTCCTTTCCAGTGCCTTCCCTTTTCCCTAGTCCTGCCTGCTCCTTCTCTAGCCATCAGTCTTGCCTATACCTGATACGTTCATCCTGCACCAGGCAACCTTTGGCAAATCAACATCATCTTGTGCTGTATCACTCTATCTCCAGAGCAGCACTTCAGCCTCAGAGTGAAGGAATGCCTGTTAATGTGGAATTAATTGGTACTTTATGACCAGGGAACCAAAACACCTTATTCACTGATCAACCACTTTTTGCTCAGCTGGTCTCAAAAGGAGTGGCTCATTGCTGTACAAGTCAAATCGGCTGACTGGAGGTTAGGGACCAATAAAGTAAGACACAAACAAATTCCCCACCTTGTTGGTGTCCATCACTGATGTCTCTCTTGGCTTCTCAATTATGTGGGTTCCAATACTGGAAAAAAAAAAAAAAAAAAGAATGTATGATTTTATAACAGAAATTCATCTGCCAGCCCAGTCTTAATCCAGGCCTCATCTGTTTATTATTTACAGAGTGAGATTGCTGTGTTTTGGACACGGTGATTTAGAAAACTCTTCCAGAGTCAGTAATTCATTGTGCTTGCAACCCCCACACAGGACTAAGGAGCGTGCCCAGTCTGTGGCTTTTCCCACCTGATCCCCTCACAAAGCCAGCATGAGCTTTGTTTTTGAATGACTTCAGTATCCTTTCATGCCAGCACTAGACCCTCCCTCAGCCTCTCTGGAGAACAAGATTAAATCCTGAGTTCTACTGTTTCCAAATCCCCCTGGGCTCATCAGGTTGTAGTGCAGCTGAGCAGAGGTGGGGTCAGGCATTACCTGGAACACAGCATTGCTGCCAGCACCCATCACTGTAGAGAGTCTTTGGGATAACTATCTTCTTATTTGAAGAAATAAAAATAATAGTAGTAATAATAATAATAATCTGACATTTTACCATTTACAAATAGGAATTGTGGCAGTCTTCCCTGGGAAAACTCCTCTGGGCTCAGGATACTTCCATACCTCACTGCCCAGATGGAACCTGCCGCCTTCCAGGGAACTCAGCCAGCCCTGCACCAGCATGCATCCTTACCTGCAACCTTTCCTGCATCCTTACCTGGAATGTGCTGGTGGACACTACTGCCCACCACATACACAAAGCATCCACTGTGGCCCTGATTTACAGGTGTCCCACACCCTGAAAGAGAAACTCATTACTGTTATGTACTTCCCTTGAAACCAATGTTACCTGGAATCAGGAAAAGCAAAATGCAAACAAAGGTGGTTACTCACAGCCATCATCAGCCATTTCCAGGTGGGTGGTTGTGACCTGTATCATGTTCCTTGTTTCACTGGTGCAGTGACTCTGCTCTGGCAGTCCCTGCATGCAGCTCTGTGAGGAGCAGCAAGAGATGAGCTGCCACCAGGGGCAGGGGACCTCAAATACTACATGCCACTCACAAATGTCGCTGATTTTTTCAAGCTCATATTTTTCAGCAGAAGGTGCAGCCTTCCCCCAGGAGTGCTAGGTTGAGAGGCACTGCAGCTCTGTGCCATGCCTGTGGACAGTGCCAAAGGCGCTGCATGTCCTGGCCAGGAGCCCCAGAGACTTCCAATCCCTGCTTAAGATGCAGTGGCAGTATGGATTGCCCGGGCAAACCCTGGGGCTGCAGCACTCTGGCCAGGCGGGTGCATGTGCCCAGCTGGCACACGCAGGTCTGGGCAACCCTCAGGCATCCACAAGCACAGTGCTGAGTATGCTGCCACCACAGGGACAGGCCCTGGCAGCTGCAGGGACAGCTTTGGCAGCAGAAAGGACAGAGTCCCTCGAGGCTGAAGAAATGCCAAGTGTTTTCAGACTAGTCTCATTCCCTTACAGAGAGGGATGCTCCAGAGATGCCTGCAAGGCAGGCTGGGTTTCTGCAAGGGCAGGCAGAATGAGTGGTGTCCCTTCTGACTGATCTCCCTGTGACAAACTCAGGGAGATAACGGTTTCTCTGTGCTCTGTTGTCTGTGATCCTAGCTCTCACCTGAGATCAGGACAGGTTTTGGAAGCTGGCCGAAGACACCATTAAAGAAGCAGCTAACTGCTGTTAGCCATAGGCGCCTTGTGGTAGGAGGATGCAGGGTTTTTTCCAACTCAGTAAATTAGTCTCAGCTGCTGATGTAGCAACCCCTGGCTTGTTGGAACCTTCCATATGTTTGCACATTTCAGAGCATCCTTCACTTACCCTGTTCTGCAGAGGATGATGTGTCTCCTCACAAGCTGGTGGCTTTGTAGGAGCTCTGGAGCTTTTACACAGAGTAGTCTTGCCAGGCTGTGCTGTTTGTCCCAGCATAAGGATCTCTCAGCTCCTTTCTATTGGGCATCTTCCCATGCCAATGAATGGCCACACAGCACCAGGTCCAGGCTGGAGGGGAATCTTGGCTCTCATTGCCATCTAGGTGCTCTGACATCCATCCTCATTTTCCAAGTGAAAGTGAGAAGGAACTAAGGACCAGGAGCTCCAGTTCTCCCATGTGTCTTTGATGATCCGTTTGTAAAGCAAGGCAGAAGGGTACGTTTGTCCAGAAGCTGTCCTGCAGACTTTACAATGGACACACAAAATAGTTTCTGAATGGACCACAAACTAAATATGTTAAGATGTACACCAGCACACAGTGCTGGTTTTACTGCATGCTTCTTCTCTAGATGCAGATTTCAATAGAGATTGCTTATGCTGATAAAAAAATGGGCAAAACCACTGGATTGACTGTGCTGGAGTCATCAGCATGAACAGACCATGTCCTGGCCATAGCACAGGGTCACAGCCAGCTGCACCTGGCAGTCAGCTCAGCTTGAGCATCCTTGAGCATACTCTCTCCATACGCAGTACAGGCACAGTCAGAAAGTTCCAGTCTATCACTTCAGACTGGATTTTGTGTGTGACAGGGCTGTTGGGCCGCTCAGCCTCTGCTCATCTACCTCCATGTGGGTCAGAGGGTTTGTGCACATACCCCAGTACAGGAGTTCTGTGTCTGGGAACCAAGCATAGTGCAGAACCATTTCAGGGTCTGGAGATGCACATGGTCTCTGGCCTGGGGTTCAAAGTGGGGGATGAGGAGTAATTACCAGTGGTCACATAAAATCTTGTCCTTTAGAGCAAAGCCTAATGTATCTGACTCTGCTCAAACAAACCCTGTTAAAGTGGTTCAGGAATACCACAAAAGTCATTTGATTTGGGAAAGATTTGCTCTGATTGAAGTGAAGGTCAATTCCTTTGGAAAATGCCTTGGCCAAACCCACCCC